TGTGGCCATTTTTCAATAAAATGTTATATACAGAAACAGGCAACAGGCCAGATTTGGCCCATGAGCTATAGTTTGTTGAAACTTGTCATAAAGTAACAACTTGAAATGCCTTTTCTACCAGAAAAAAAAATTAAGTTATTCTGTCTCTTTTTATAAATGCAATGGATGCTTTACGAAAAACATAAAAACATTCTACTTGATCAATATCAATTCTATCAATTTACTAATCATAGTCAAGGCAGATCAATTTGAGGTTTGATTCAGGGTGGGGGGAATGAATTATATACTTCAAAAAGAACATACTGTCCCTGACCCAGGAGCAGCAAAGATATGAAATGCCAGGGAAACCAAGCACTGACTATTTTTATTAGTCTGGCACAGAGTCCATGGGCAATATGCCAAAAGCATCCAACAATAAAACAATCTCTTCCCAATTATAATATTGAATTGACCTTACACTACTTGGCTTAATTGAAAGTTCAATACAATGAGGTGTATTACTTTTTGGATGTTGTTATTGCAACAAATACATGGTATAATTTCAAATTTTTCTAAAATAGCAGAGAGAGGAATTCAAATAGCCTAAAGATGTTAGAAAGAAGTAACTAAGAAAATCAAAGCTACATTTAAACTTGGTATATAATAATTAGCTACATAGTGTATCAAGTGAAAAACCAATAAAAAATAAGGCATTTTAAAGAAATTTTTCTATAATTAATTAAAATCCATCTAATAAAAATGTATACTTACAACTGTCAACCTATATAAGGACACAAACTGCTCAAATTACCAGAAATTTAGTTTATTCAAGAATAACAGAGGAATTGCAATTCAGGTAATGCTTGCTGTAGCAAGCTATAGGCAGGTCCCTTGAGTATTTGCTGCAGGCTATGTTTATGGGCAAGGCGTGCAAAGAGGGTAAAGTCCAGTCAGAGTCAAGGAAGTAAATTCATTGACTTGAAGATGGGAGAGATTCTTGGTGGATGCTTGTTAGTCAGAACATAAATTTCAGTCTTCTGCAAATTATGTATTTAATGGAAATCTTAAAATCTTAAATTCCGTCTCTGAATTCTTAAATTCTGTTCTTTTGAGGGCACAAAGATTCTCCATTTTATAATTAACCTCTGGTTCCATTTTAGATTGAAATCCTTTCACGCTGTATTTCTTTTATTTTGTGGCATTCTATATTAAACAAACAAGAAATGATCTGCCATACACACACAAAGGACCAGAGAGATTCAAAACTGTACAACTAAACATGAAATATATTCAATCTATATACAATAAAAATCCAAAGGACATGATGTTGGCTCTGAAAACAGTTATTCTCTGCTCATTATGAATCATTGAATCTTTATCCAAAAACCGGCAAATCCAATAACCTTTCTAAATAATATTTTCATCTTTTATTTTCATTTTCTGAGCCTTTTTGGCTTATCAAAATGAAATGAGCTTTTAAAGAGTATGGGACTTGTACTTAAATTGTAGCAAAGTCTTGGTTTCTCTCTCAAAATTTTTAAAATTCAGTTTTTGAAAACAATGTCTTTACTAGCTTTATTTCTATTTTTCTGTCTACTGGTGTTTCAGAAAAAGAAAAAAAAAGATTTAAAGAGATTTGGTCCAAAATGAGTCTTGGGAGATTTATTCTCCAAAACACAAAACTGCAGGAACAGTTTTGTAACTGCCTATTTACTCAGGAATGGTTCCCCTTTTTCTTTCAGAACTGTGTTATGTCACATTTCTATGTTGCTGCTGATTGCTCTTGATCCCATTTCCCTCTTCTATTGAGTTTGAGGGATCAATCTTTGTATTCCCAGACCTGAGCACAGTGTTTGGCATATAATAGGCACTCAACACATTTTTTATTCTGAATAAATAAATATGTGTCATTGTCAATCTGTCCACTGTTTTTCAATCTCAGAAAATTTATAACTAGATCAATTCAGTTTCAACTTGACTGATCATGGCAAAAGTTTTTTACCAACTACCAAGCTTCATCACCATATCCTGTGTTCATCATGAGACCTAAGCTGAACAATGTTTACAACGAGGGCAGACAGAAGGAGAGTGTAGAATGGAGGGATGTCAATACCCTCTACTTGAGGACAGTTTGGTGTTGATTGCTATACACCACCTGCTCAAGTCTAAAGAAAATAATTATGTCCATTGAACATAACCTTTCCTCCTTGCCTTTCTGCTGTTTCCTTTGATGACTCAGATAACTTGCTTTCTTAGCTTGCATTTGAATATTTCATCTTTGCATCTTTGCAGTTTGGGTGTTAATTCTTCATTAGATGTCTAGTAGAGTTTTCCAATAGAACAGTATGTTCCTATATATTTCTTTTCTGTGATCTATTTAGATGCAAATTTAATTTCTTTAATAATTATTAAACTATTCAGATTAATTATTTTATCATGGTTGAGTTTTGGTAGTTCATGGCCTTTGAGAAATGATCCATTTCTTCTGGGTTGTTGAATTTAAGAGACTAGAGGTGTTGTTAGTGTTGCAATAATATTTTTGAAGGCTGGAGCATATGTAGTGATATCCCATATCATTCCTGATACTAGATACTGGTAATTTGTGTCTTCTGTTTTTTGTTTGTTTTGTTTTGTTTTATCAGTCTTTTTAGTGGTTTAGAAATTCATTTATATTTTTTTAATCCTCAGCTTTTTGTTTTATTTTTCTATTGTTCTTTATGATGTGTTGAACCTCTTCTGTTAGTTTTCAACAGTGGCAAAGTCAGATAAAATTATATGTCTATGGATCATTATCACTTGCATTGATATCAGTTATGCACAATTTATAGATCTGTAAATTGCATAAGGGAAAAGAAAGGCAGGCACACTGGTGGTTGAGTTTATTTCAAACTCTTTAACAAATGTTTCCTGAAGCTTCTTCTTCTGCTTCTTTCCTGAAGCTTCTTCTGCTCTATCATCTGCTCGCATGCCCTCAGAGTTACTCCCCTTTGTTTGGTCCATATTGACCACAGCTAGATGCGATGTACCTTTAGCAATGCTATTCCTGTAAGTGGTGGCACAAATTCTGCCTGCGGATCAGTAAGAGTTCAGTGGCCGTGTCCAGCATCCTAATAAAGATGCAGAAGAAAGTTACACTATAGCTTATGATGGCCATGCACTCCCATAAGAGCAGAGAAGATTTAGCCATATCATCTTCAAATGCCTACTGAAGAAAGCAACTAGGCACGATTCCATGAGATCTTATTCTGAAGGGTAAAATGGTGTAACAGCTTTCACTGTTAGAATATTAAAGTTTCAGTAGAATCTCAAATCTCACTTCAACCTACATGCCGACCTGTTCCAACTTCTGCTTCACTGTAAAGAAGCAGGTCTATGTGTTAGAACTGGGAACAGAGGGATCCTTACACAAGTCACACTGCCCTCATCTCATGTGTTCTGCCTGGCAACAGTGATTGCAGTAGAGGTGATACTGAATCTATAGAGCTTTGAACTCCCCAGAAATATTATTTTTAAGTCAAATCTTATTTTGAATGGTAATATCGTTTCAGAAAAACACACAAACAAATCTAGTAGGTAATTTAGGCAGCAGAACAATCTTAAAAATGATTCTTAGATACAATTTTGGAGTATAACTTCCATAAATGGTGTAAAATTTAGTTAACTAGTTCTTCAGGCATGCATGCAGTTTATAATACCGTAGTTAAAATAATTTGCATAGCACTATTTTCTCTCACTCTGATAAAATCTAATAGATGAAGCAAGACTATTTTTATGAGAGGGAAAAGCAAACATGCTTCATTACCATTTCATTAACATAATGATTGTCCTCACTTTTCATTACTTTTTGATCCAAAGTGTAATAAATAGCAAACACTACCCATGTGTATAATGATGGTTATGTCATCAAGCATGCATAAACAATAGTTTTTTTCAATTTATAGTATGTTTAAAAAGCATATGATTTATGTTTTTAAACATACAGTTCTTCATATTTAAGATTCTATAGTCTTAGAAGGTCCAATACTGTCACACAGTTTTAAAAAAAAATGAAATGCAACTCTACTTAAGAAAAAAAGGAAAATAACATTTTGAGGGATGTATTTGAAAAGCACAATCCCCTCAGCCTTCCTTTAATATTCCCATTTTGGAGTTCAGGCATTTGACAAATGTATCCATCTATCCCCTCTGTCATTTATTTTGGAGGTGAATTCTGACTCTGCACGGATTCTTCTCTTGAGTTTGACAGCTTTTGGTGAAAATATGAAATTCGGGAAGAATAACCTGAGCGGAGATAGGTGACCAATGTTATCTGAGGCACTGAGATAAGTACCCCAGTCTTGTTCTCAGAGTGATGATTCACTCTTCCAGAAGCACTGGAAAAGTGGAGACTATCCCAGGTGATAGTGGAGGCAATAAATAAAGAGTTTAACTTGAACAATGGGCTCTCAAAATACGTACTGATTCTTAAAAGAGATTGAGAAGAAGGAAAATGTTAAAGCCACACACACCTACAACAAATATGATGCAGGTGATGAGGAAGAAGAGAATATTCAAACATTTGATGAAACTGAAAAACTGGATTCTATTTCACGATTTATCTATATGTTTTTCTTTATTTTTTTTTCTTTATCCCTTAACTTTATTATTATTTTTTTTGGCCTTTAAAATTATCTTTATTTCTGATCATTCCTTTACAATCATCTGCCTCAGGATCAACTCCCATACATGCAGCTGGAGTGCAAATACCCCTCCCCTGTCCCCATGCAAATCAGATTCATATTTCCGATTCTAGGACACTTGCCCCCTGAGGTCCCATGAACTCCCCAACATTTGCCCCTGTAATCACAGACCTGGACTTGGTCCCTTCCTTTGCCCATTCACAGGATCATGAATCTGGATCGTGGGTGCCCCCCCATAATGCACCCTTGTTCTATATTACGGCTTCCAAGGGCCCAGAAGAAAGCTTTTGCTGAGTGTTCCCACTGAGCAGGGTTATTACAGGGGCACAGCACCGCTACACGTCATGAAAACTCCGCGTCATAAACTTTACATTTGCCAGAGTTGTGACAGTACTTGGTGCCAAGAAAGATGCTCCTGGGTTGTCCTAACTCCTTCAGTATCCCCGTGAGCTCAGCCCGGAGCAGGACAAGTCTCTCCTCGTTGACAGTCCCCTGGATCCTGTAATATTCCAGGGGGACTGGGTACAGCTCGAGCTCTAAACTGCTCAGCCTGGCTGTGTGGCGCAGCAGCTTCTCCACGGTGTCCACGGAAAAGTTGTTCTCAGAGATGGTGAAGCCCCTGAGCTGGTGACAGCGGCTCAGGACAGGCAGGATGGTCTCGACTTGGGAGTCTGCCATCGCACAGTTATCCAGGCCCAGGCCCTCGAGGGTGGGTGCCACTGCCTCCAGCAGAGCTCGGAGGGGCTCAAGACTAAAATCTGCGAGGCTGAGACCAAATAGATGCAGGGACTTCAGCTGCCTGAGGTTCGGGCACTGGAACAGGTGTGTCAGGTCTGAATGGGTCAGCTGCTGGCAATTGGTTATGCAGAGTTTGTCCAAGGGGGTCTGCAGGCACCTGAGCATCTGGTCCAGACGGCCTCGGAGGAAGAAGGGAGAATCCATGTCGAGCTCCTGGAGGTGCCGCAAGCTGAGCATCTGAGTGAGGAATTGGGAAAAGGATCGCTGCTCTTCCTGCTGTTTCCTGTCCCAATCCTCTTCCTCCTCCCACTCCTGCTCCTCTTCCTCCCCTATCTCTTCCTCTTTTTCCTCCTCCTCCTCTGTCAACACGTAGATGTGGGAGAGAGAGAGTCTCTGCAGGTTACTCATCTGACCCAGGTAGAGAGCAAACGTCCCCAGGGTGGGCAGGTCCCAGGTGCAGTTCACTTCCGCCTCCTGGATGCAGTCCAGCTGCACCCCATCCAGGACCCTCCTGACCCTCTGGAAGGGCCCCTCAGAAATGCTCAGCGCCTTGCAGCACAGGTGTAGCAACCCTTCCCTCTGCTGGGCCCACTGGATGATGTACTTGAGAAACTCATCCCCGTCCCTTTCATTGAAATTAAGGTCTAGGAACACCTTCAAGGGAGCCAAGGGGTGCTCCATGTTGGGGCTGGAGCTGTGCACAGCCACTGGTTCTGTCCGTGAGCACTTCTGGGTGCTGTCTCCACACCACATTCTCCAGAACTTAGCTCCCGTGTTCCTGAAATCCAGCACCCGCAGTTTCCACCTCCTGGGCGGAACCTCCTGGGCAAGCAGTACATCCAGCCCGTCCAACACGGCTTTTAAGAGCTTATTCAGGGACATCTGTGACAGGCAGCCCAGAGGAAGGACAGTGAAGGGCCAGGCGTGCACCATGGCCTTCAGGGGCTTCTGCATTCTCCTCCAGCAGGCCTGAATGAAGAGCAGCGGGAAGAGCTCAGCAGGCAGGTACTCCAGAGCTGCGATGGCTGAGGCCTGGTCCCTCAGCAGGCTCTCTCCTGCCAGCCTCAGGAGTGTGGGTGGGGTCCGGAGACTCATATTCAAGGTGCGCAGAAAGGAATCCTCCAGAAACGTCTGCTATGAATGGGTTGGCTGGGGCTCAAATCTCAGAGCTGGTGGAGAACCAAGGCACTGACTGTAGAGCTGGAGGACTCTGAATCTCCTCTGGTGCCTGAGGTTTTTATACACCTTCTCAAATGCTACCATCCAACCAGAACCCTCAGTCTCCAGCCCTTAATTTTAATCTTATTTGGATTATTTCCTCTCTGCAGATTAATGGATTAAGAGAAAGTTAGGGAGGGACAAGGTTGAGGCCTGGCTCATTGATTCCTTCCACAGACACTGACTGAGGTTGAATGATGGCCCCCCAGTTGTCATCCTCAGTGAAGGTGTAATGGGTTCCTGATGTTAAATAGGAAAGAACACAACCAGAGACCATGGTGGCTGGGGTTCTTTGGCCACATTAGAGTAATGCAAATGTTGATCCGAGTCCGGTTGGTGACTGCTGCTCCAGAGGTTTCCTTAAACCCGTGGTCACCAACTTTTCGGACCTCACGGACCACCACTGGTGCGGACCACTGGTTGGCGACCACTGGCCTGACTGAACCCTGTTAAGGCCTCAAGCCTGGAACCTGTTTCCTACAGAAAATGTCCCAGCTGGCTCCCTGGTCCTTTGCAATCTGTGCTGAAGAGAGGGAGAAGGTGCGGACGAGTGGAATCTGGGGAGAGGCTGAGGAGAGAGGGGGAGCCGGGGGAGGTGGCAGCGAATTGAGTGCTGAGACCTATATGTTTTTCTTTAAAAGGAAGTGGAGTTATAGAAAGAAAAAGATGTAACAAACACTGCTAGTAATTGAGAATATCTCATACCTCTTATTCTTACCCTTTAAAACAGCGGTTCTCAACCCGTGGGGTCGAACGACCCTTTCACAGGGGTCGCCTAAGACCATCCTGCATATCAGATATTTACATGACGATTCATAACAGTAGCAACATTACAGTTATGAAGTAGCAACGAAAATAATTTTATGGTTGGGTCACAACATGAGGAACTGTATTTAAAGGGCCAGAAGGTTGAGAACCACTGCTTTAAAGGAAAGTAGTTGGAAAAGGAGTGAACTGTAATTAGATTATAAAGGAACTGAAATTAGATTACAAAAATACTAATTTTTTTAGGCCTATGTTTAATGTTTGTTTTGATTTTTTTTAGCTTGGTATTGCTTTTTGGAGAATAATTCCCTTTTATAAATCTTGGAATGGCTACCATCTTATTGTATAACAGAAACTAATATTTTACTTCAGTTTATTATTCTACTTTGCATATAATTTAAGCTTTCCCTTTGGGAAACTGAGGAAGGGAATATGAAAATACTTTAACATATCTTATCATTTCAGATTTTAATTTATGGTACATTTTAGACATAATTATAAGCATGAAAAATATTCTTTATAGACAGAGAGAAATATTGGTGTGTAAATTAAGGAAACTTCAAAGAGAGAGAGAGATTAATTATAGGAATTGTGTCATGTTTCAGGAGGTCATGGAGGCCCAGTAGTCCCACAAACTATTGTCTGCAAGCTCTAGAACTAAGAAAGTCAGTGGTATAATTCGGTCTGTGAGTCTGAAGGCCTGATAACCAAGGAAGCAGGTAGTATAATTCCCAGTCCATGGCTGAAAGCCTAGGAATCTGGGACTGCAGGTGTGAGTCTTAGAGTCCAAAGGCCCCACAACTACAAGCTCCAATGTCCAAGGCCAAAAAAAGGATAGACATTCCAGCTCAAGAAAAGAGAGGGAGTTCACCCTTCCCTTTTTCTTTTTGTTCTAATTTGGCCCTCAATGGATTGTCTGATGCCCATCCACATTGGGGAGGGCAGATCTTTACTTGATCTACAGAATCAAATACTAATCTTTTCCAGAAATATCTTCACAGACACACCATAAATAATGTTCACCAAATATCTGGGCATCATGCCCTAGCTGATTTGGTTCAGTAGATGGAGCATTGGCCTGTGGACTGAAGAGTCCCAGGTTTGATTCTGGTCAAGGGCACGTACCTCCGTTACAGATTCCAGGCCCTGGTTAGGGCATGCAGGAAGCAACCAATTGATGTGTCTCTCTCACATTGGTGCTTCTCTCTGTCTCCCCCTCTTCCTTCCACTCTCTCTAAAAATCAATGGAAAAAATATCCTCGGGTGAGCATTAAAAAAAAAAAAGTATATATATGGGCATCCCTTAGCCCAGTCATGTTGACACATAAAATTAACTATCACATATAATCAGTTAACAGTCATTGAGCTCAAATGTCACATATATGCCCACAATTCTTGCATATTCTTTAGAATTTTTTTCCATCTATATGATAAATTCTTTTGATGACTATATAAAGAGAATTATTTTTTAAATATAATTATATATAAAAAAGAAAAAAAAAACTTCTGTGAAATGTCATAACCAATGACTTAGGACTCAAAGACCTGCAGTCTAGTCCCAACACTGTCATTCTATATATACTGTTGAGCTTGGAATTTGCCTTTGTGCTTAAATCCAAAGGGATTTAAGATTTAATTTTCTTACTCTATGTTGACTTGATACTTCTTTCTTTTTATGTTCCAAACTTCAATCTTAGAATTGTATAAAAATTTATTCTACATGACATGGCAGATCATATATGTCTTTCTTTATCAGCTTCATTCTGCCATGTTTTTTGTATTTTCTTTTAACTCTTAAAAAATGTTGAATATAGTATAGATATAGATAAATATATGTAAAGCAAAGGTATATATCTTTTCAAATTATAATAAAGAAGAAAATAGCTGCCACCTAGATAAAATAATTAAAAATTCCACACCCACAATACTTTCAACATTTAAAAATAGTACTTAGTTTTTTTCTTATAATTTTAACATCTTTGTATTTATTTTTACTTTTTTATATGTATATATATACATATATATGCATATATATATATACTTTTTAACTTTATATTTTTCTTCTATTAACTTCAGTGTTATTCAGTTTACTATTTATTATATTTAAAAACCTATAAGAAATTATTTTATACAAGTAATATTTTTTAGATTTAATCATTTATTTACTTTTTTGTTTCTCTCTGTCCATAATGCATCCCCATGCTTCCTTCTAGGATCACTAACATGAAAAAATTTTTATTATTTCCTTTGTCGCAGGTATGAAGATGACCAATCTCTCACTAATGTTTTGCTGAAAATGTCTTTATTTCACCTTCAATTATTAAAAGGTAGTTTTCTGAATTGATGGTTTTTTCTTTCAGCACTTTGATGTTATCAACTTGTAATGGTAATAGTATTGGTTGCTTTTAAGATGTTTTTCTTTATATCTGGTTTTCAGAAGTGTTAGTCTCATGTGTATATTTTTATTGATCCAGCTTTGTGTCTGTAATATTTCTACTTAAAGCTTAGATTTCTTTTACCAGTTTTAGAAAGTTCTCAGACATTATGTCATCTTATGTCTTCTGTTCTTTCCTTTGAAAACTCTAAAAACTATATGTTATATATTTTCACTGTGTAACTTCTGTCACTTCCTTTGCCTTCTGTATATTTATTTAATTTTGTCTATATACTGTATTCTGCATATGTTCTTTTGACATCATTCCCTGGTCAGAAATTTTATCTTCATCTGTTAATTCCTCTCTTGTCTTTTAATTATGGTTTTAATATTTTTCAGTGTACTGGTTTTTGTTCCTTCTATGAAATTCTTACTTTTGTCCTTTTTCTCCTTGAACAAAATACATATTTATTATCAATCTATTAATCCAAGTGAAGTTTGCATAAAATCTTATGGTCATGTCACAGAATTAGTCCTATATATTTTTTCAATTATCAGGGGATATGACCCCTTAGTGTTTGTTGTTGTTGATGCTGATAATTCACATTAAGAGTTATAAAGCATAAGATGAGTCCTTTAAAATATACATATTCTTATTGATCCCTATTTAAATATGTCTTATTAGTTCTAATCTGTTCTACTTTCCTAGTGATAATTTTTTAAAACCTTATTTTATCATTCAAAATATTTTATGTTGTTTTATAAGACTTTTAAAGATATTACATTATTCTGGTTTATTATCTAGCACTTCCATTGTAAAGATTCACTACTGTGACCATAGCACCTGGAAAAATATCTTGCAAGTATTAGAGTCTTGATGATATTTGAAGAAACAATAATCTGGTATCATTCCATCTCTGTTTTCCAACATTTCAATGATTACAACACTGAATAGATTATTAGGTGGAGACCTGGACCTTAATTTTGGGAACCTTCATTTATAAATAATTAACTTGCCTGTGACTGCTCAGTAAATTCAGCCAACAATTAATTCATATTGTTTTTACTTTTTCTTACAATCACAATCATTCTGTGAAGTTGCCTCAAATTCATTGCTAAAATCAAGGAATGACACATCCATTAATTATATTTAGTAACTGGAATTTTACTTATAGCTTAATTTCAAGGGAGCCAGCCCTTTTAAAATTTTTTTCTCATACCATTTTATTTTATTACTCTTTCTGGAATATTAATCTTATTGGAAATTAGAAATTTGGTTATTTCTGTGATCTCTGGTTTCAACCCCAATTTTACTTTTAGAATATCTTGGTCTGCTGACTTTGAACAAATAATGAGAAAAGTGTAATTAAAAAAACACACACACAACAACAAAATAATTGCCCATTTCAGATGGTACCAAATGGAGGTAATGTCCCATTTTGAATACTGGAATATTTACCAATTCCACCTATTTCTATGCACCTATCATTTCTCCCGATACAGTCTCAGGGATTTATGAAGTGGTTCTGTGATTAGCTCTGTTATTATTTTATTATTAGTCTTTTTTTTAATGTGATTCATCTGGTTCTGGATATTTGAGTTCATTTAGAAGTACTAATTCCTTTTTTTGCCACTCTCTACAGTAAATTTATACATAATTTTTGTAGTCATCTTATATAATAAAGAGCTAATATGCTAATTAGACTGAACAGCAGAACAACCATCCGGACGACCTTCC